CAAAGTACGTTTACAAACTTTTGTTGTAATATCATTAGACTATATTAAAATATAAACAAAATCATTATATAACATTCATAATTTAATTATCTTTGATTTTATGGTGTCTAATAGATTCATTCCATAATTATTTACTGTTTCATTAATCCGTTACATTTACAATGAGTGATACACATATCCCTTGAACTTCTTAAGACAAATGCATAGCATGTGCTACTGCAAGACCTCTGAAACCATTATACAATTATATGCGTAGCTACATTCGTGTGCGATAAACAACTACTAAAACTTGATTTATAAGTGACCTCAACACACACAGTGTAAAATATGTACAAAGGATTCATGGAGCCTAACTACTAAGTTTTTTCCTTCCTCTTTCATCCAATCAGCATGTACAACTGACTTTTATAAAAAATATATATAATATATATCTATATAAAATTTCATTCTCTCGTCAGCCAACATATCTTCGTACAAATTTAGTTTCATACTGGGTATTTGATCTCGATTTTTGCGACATGTCTCTTAAGTTTATTCGTTTTTGTTTGTTTTCTTTCGTTATTTTTTTTACTAATACCTGGGATACATTGACTCCCAAATACAAATATAAATGCATCTTTGACCAATTACGACATACGACGATGAAGTCTAGTACCTATTTAATGATTAAAGCACAATGGCAGCAATTTTTCAGATATAATGCAAAAGACTGTAAATTTATGAATCCCGTTGAGCTGCATTCATGACAATTGCATAGTCAATTAACTCGAGTCTATGCAGTTTGTCAATGAAGTTTTTTTCTAGTACGAGTGTAATCATATAATTACAATAAACTTTAATGTTTCATATTTTAGAACAGCTATAATATGATATATATTTTATTCATGTAAATTATGTACATAAATTAAAGTAATTCTGTTTCCTCTTTTAGAAGTTAAAAATTGTGCTATATCTCACATGCATGTCAATATACAATTATTCGTTCGTTTTACATATTTGTTATATCGTACAAATGAATATTGCTTTCAATATGGTTGTTTTGCTATGTTACTTTTAAAAACCACATTGAAGAGCAATGTTTTAAATTTAAAAAAGAAATATTTCGATCATAAGGATGCTACGATTCTATTTACGTACACACGTAATATATTGCAGATCACTATAATATTATTACTCTAATATATACAAAATCTGTCTACCCTAAGAAATACATGATGGTTGTCGCACTCGCATAATCATATGTCTTTATTTGATCGTCCTGAAAACAGCTCAACCGCCAACAGTGCTACAAGCTATATGCTCGAAACGAAAATGACAGACGGCTTAGACAATTATTTGTTCCCAAGATGTCTTTATAATAACATACTATCGGTAACGTTTTTTCTCAGCCTTTTCCTTAAAAAACAATAATGAACGATGAAAATGATCATCAAGTTCGATAATTTGTACTTTGCATCTGAGCAGGTGAAATGACAAATTGAAGATAAAGATTTTCTTTTTTTAACAGTCACATTACGTTCTTTAACAAAAACAATGTACAACACAAAGCACATATGAATATATATTTTCATTCTGATAAATGTTCCTCCTTTATACTAAATCTTATCACCTATATCTACAATTTATATTAATGGGGGAGGGGGAAAGTTACCTAAATGATGTTGAGTAGGTAAAAATTGTCATGAAATCTGCTGTGATCGCAGTGTATCCACTCAATGATACTATTCTATTATCTCTTGGTGTTGTATAAAAGTTTGTTTAGCGCATATTAAGTGACACAGGGTATCTCAAGGCAGCTCATCACGAACAGGCTTGTTGCATTTCTGCTTTAGCTGCCTTTATGGCTGAAAACAAATTTATTATTGTAAATTTTTGTACATATATATTTGTATACAAATGTATTTGTATATATTATGCGATATTCCTCATCTTTTAAATATTTACATGAAATAGATGAAATAATAATTACCTTCCCGTTCTCTTCTCCGCAATTTTTTTCTGCGTCTTTCTATAGCAGCCAGTTCGACCTTCACAGCATTATACGTTTTACGCAATTCAGCTAATTTTTGTTGTAATACAGCTATTCTTTGACTTCCGTCCAATTCAGGATCTATTAATATAACGAAAAATAATTACATCTACAATTGAAGAAGTCTTAATGAAATACATAAGATAAGCGAATACTCTACCTAATTCCACATAGAAATTATATTTTGTAGGTCGCGGTGATCTCGAGGAATAATTACTAAGATCAGCCACTGTGGCGGCCATATTCGTATGATTTGTAGATGTTGAATTAGCTCCACATAGATTGGAGCCCTCACTCGTATCGTCGCTGTCGCTTCCAGCACCGTGTCTACCATGTCTACCACTATGCCTTCCACTTTTCTTGGAAGTATTCTTATCACATTCTGAATGTTTTCTACTTCTCTTACGCTTTTTGGGAGATTGAGTTTCCTCCACAGAACGTTTTGCCGGCGGCTTCAATATTCTATCTGCAGTATTGCCTTCAGTATTTGGTAATGTATCATCTTCACTGAATGCAGGACCTTTACCACCACTATCATTGTCTGCTTCCGAACTATCACGATTTAGTTTCAAGTTATCTTCAGAGATTGGTGATGAACCACCTGTTCTTTCTTCCCTTGGGGAACCAGAGATGTTGGAAATACTAGAGTCTGGTGTAGTTGGTGGTGTATTGTCCATTACAGGTGCTGCTTCATTGCTTTCTCGTCTTTGAGCAGGCATCAATGCAGGCAAATGTTGATGATGTGGTTGCTGCCTCACACCTAGAGTAGGATTTGATTGCATTGGTAAAGAAACTGGAACAGTTGCTTCCACTGTTTTTGGTAATGCCATACTTAAAGTGACAACAGTACTGCTAGTCGTACTTTGGCCTGAAGTAGGAGCACTTGCAAAAGGCATTTCCATGAGTACTATATTGCTTTCAGATGCTTCAACTTTTGGTGGAGAACATGACGGACCAGCATTTATTTGTTCAATTGTTTCAGACACGGGAGCTGGCGAACCTGGTATTTCTTCCTCGCACAGTAAAGAGTTAATTGTTTCACCTTCTTCTTCAGCTTTTGTAATAGATACAGTTTCCGGCTTGCATTCGATGATGCATTCTTGTTGTTGATGCTTCAATTGTACCGATTTCTGAATTTGTAATTTTGGATACCTTTCTTGCGTATCCTGAAGTCTATCTAACTCTGCTCTTAATTTTACGTCGAAATTCGATGGTGTTTTCGCATCTTGAGGTTCTTCATTATCAATTATTAGTCTCTGCTCAGAGTCGCTACTGTCTGCAGAATCCACAATATCTTGAGTAACTATCTTTTTACGCTTTTCCTTCTCTTTCTCCTTAAAATCGTGTTCCTTGAATTCATCTTCCATTTTTTTCGTTTCTTCATTCTCAATATGTTTCCATACCCCTTCACTAGTCTCCTGTACCTTCTTGTGTTCTGTTTTTGTTTCAACGAACTTCTTTAATTCCACTTCTTTCTTCAATTTCAATTGTTGAAGTTCCTCATCCTTCTGTTTTATGACTACTCGCATTATTTCTCTAGATGGTTCTTCGTTATTTGTTGCAACATCTTCTTCTTCTCGCTTTTTACATTCAATATCTAACTTAGGTACATTTTGCTCTTCCTTGTTATTTTGTACAATTATAATATCCACCTTTTTAGGGATTTCTTTCGACGGTTTCCATATAACTTCGGGAACGTCGTCTTCTTTTTTAATTTCTTTTATTTTATTACGGAAAGCCATTGCTGCCGAAAGTTTCTCTTCTATTGTAGATGTGGCTGGTAGTCTTGCACTAATTGGTGCTGGAACTGCTACAATCGGAGACGAGATAGACGTGATATCCAATAATTTGGTATCGAGTGATTTTAATTCTGGAGATTGTCTGTGTAATGGAGACATTTTAATACTGGGCTTTTGTTCCACCAGTACCTCAGGCTTGTTCAAAACTGGTGACGACAATTCTTCCCCTACAGCTCCAACCTGTAAACCTGTATCTTCTTTAGACGATTCCAACGAATCGTTCATATCATTAGCAGAGAACATTTCTTGCTGATACGTAAATAAGTTTTCTTGTTCCGCTTCAGAAACCTCTGCCTCTGATATTATCAATCGATCTTCTGAATCATCATGTGTACCATCATCGTCACCAGGTAAATCACTAAATAACAAATCAATTCCATTTGTTATTTTACTTGTTTCTTCTATGATAGGTGCAGCTTTCACTTGATTGAACGTTGGCGGTTCGCAAAGTTTATCAAATGCTTCTTCACATGTGGTTGATGATGCAGATTGCAATGGTTTGTGAGTAGTCTGATTTTCTGTAATATCATCAATTCTTTTACTAAACAACTTTTTTGCTTTCTTCCTTGAATCCTCGATGTCTGGTTTAATTTCTTTTATAATTGGTGACACAATTATTTTCTGCTTCTTTTTGGGACTTTTCGGTTCTTCCTCGAATACTCTCTTCTTCGCTTTGTCTTTTTCTCCGCTGGTATCTCGTTTATTACGTACTTCAAATTCAAATGGTTCTGGTTCTTTGAATTCATATATGTCTTCTGTATTCTCTGTTGCTTTAGACTCAGGAGTAGTTTCTAATTTAGGTTCTAAAGTTTTTTCCAATTTCGGTGAAACTAGAACTACATTTTCTTTTTCTTCTATTTTTATTTCATCCTCTGGATCAGGCTCGACTCTAACAAGTTCCAATTTCACTGCCTTGTCAAAACCTTTCAGTTCCGATCGTATTTGATTTAAATCGAAATCTCGACCTTTAGGCTGTTCCTCATCACTATCAGGTTCCGATTTTATACCCTGCGATTTACCAATCGTTCTCCTCAAACGTCTACCTCTGCGTGGTTCTTCCAAATTATCTTTATCTTCCTCGCCATCACTAGTTTCGTCAGGTTTTATTCTATCCTCGGCTCTACATTTCGCGTCTCTACGCTTCCTGTCTTCTGCACCTTTGGATTTGGTTCTTGTTTGTTCTGGTTCGGTGATGTCAGAGTCATATGTTTCGCTGTCCTCAGTTTCCGACGCAACTGATATGTCTGTATGTCCAGACGTCCTTCTCGTGCGTCGTCTGTGTTCTATACCAGGTACATCATTGTTTCTCGTTATTCGTGTATGACGATTATTCGCTGGGGTCGCTGGACTCTTAGTTCTGGAACTAGAACTTGTGACAGATAGTGGAGTTGTAGACCTAACTGGCTGAGACGTTTCTTTATCTTTTTCCTTGTCCTCCTTCTTTACCTCCTTCACTGCGGTCGAAGAGAAAATTGTCGTTGTTGGGGCTACACTTTGTGCTCGACGACGACTTTGAGACACGTTTGAACTTGTGTTAGACACAATTTTCGACGACTTGTTTACATTATTAGATAAATTCGTGCTGGGTGTTTGTGGTCGTGAATTAGCTTTAACACGTTTAACTCTACCCTGAGCTTGCGTAAAGTTTTGCGCTATTCTTGACGCTTTGATCCATTCGTCATATCTTGTGTTCCATCCAGTATAATGAACAAGATACATTGGTTCAGTACCATCTCTCTCCATATCAATAACCTTGGCTTCATACGTGACTTTTGATTCATGAGTAGGTCCATAATATACTTTCAACCGGTCTCCTAATTCTACAGGTCCTTTGTAACAAGGAGCAGACTCTGTTAATTGTTCGTCAGAACGCGACTTCTCGGCCTCATACTCTTTACGCTTTCTCCCTCGTCTTTTCAATTCTTCGTCGGTTAAACGCCTCTGTTTGGTCAATGTTTTTTTTTCTGATTCTCTAGATGGAGTTCGTGTTTCTCTAGTTTCAGATGACGTTTTTTTGACAGTATCATCTTTGGATTTAGATCGCGTTTTAGCGGCATCCTCTTCTTTCGCTTTATCATCTTTTTTCTCTTGCTTTTTAGGCTCGTTTTTCTTCTTCTCTATCACCTTTTTCTTTGACTCTTCTTTAATTTTAGATTTACCTCTATTTTGTAATGTTAACGTTGTTGAAATTTTTTGAGACTTTTCACTACTAGATGATTCTGCTTCACCTTCCACATTGACATCGCTTTCCTGCCCACTGCCGCTTTCCTCAAACTCGTCCTTCTTCTTCATTTTGACCTCTTCCTCTTTCACTAGTTCTTTTTTTACTTCTTTTTTCTCCTTTTTCTCATCCTCTATCACTTTCTTTTCGTCCTCTTCTTTTTCGTTCTTAGACACAGTCACTTGTGGTGGCACGGGTGTATTTCTGTCTTTATCTCTAATCAGACTTCTACCGGGACGTTGTTTCCGTATAGTACCTCTTGGATGATTGACCATGGTACAACCTAATTTTCTGTAAAAATCTTCAAACGAATGCAGGAATTTTTTGTAGGCCTGTTTAACCAAATTGTGCGTGGATGGAGAATTTTGCATTGTAAAGCTTAGACGGCGTGTTATCAGTTTCCATTGATTTTGATTCGTTACGCGATTATAACCACCCAATTTGTAAACAGCTCGAAATAACCTATACAAATCTATATCTTCAGATCCGATCATTGGGCAATTATTAATAGGTGTTCCACGATCATCCATAAATTTATACAGTTGTGCCACAAAATGATCTTTTTCTTCACGGGGTTCGTCATCTGAGCTCTGAAAAATATAATATAATTGCAGGTAACAAGTATAATAAGTGGAATTTATTTACCACCAAAAATATGAAAAATATCTTACATCCGAATCAAGTTCTCCATCAGAGTCACTATTTCCACTTGACACAGAATGTCCAAAAAGAGAATCCCTATCCCAATGAGGAGGCAACTCATTCTTCTCTAAAAATAGCAGTGCCTTTTCTACTGCAACCTTCAATGTGCTATTCTCAACTTTGTTGACAAGTTCTTTTGTGAATTCAGTGGCCTCTTTCTTTGGAACTGTATAACTGAGTGTGCAAAGAAAGATGTAATAATATGATAGAGAATAAATGAATATTAATATATAATTATATTTCAAAGACTATCTGTTTATTCATGTTCATTAAACTGAAATCATAAGAATGCAATCAAATATAAACACTGAAATAACATAAACATATTATAGTCATATAAAATTAATTCAAATATAAAAGATATTGCAACTTACTATCGTGCATCTTTAAATGACCGCACAAGATAGTCATCTCTCACTCGAATTCTTACTGTGTCTTGAGCAGTTGGTGCAACCACTAACCCAGGGAACCAGTTATCCTTTTTCTTTTTATCTCCAAGTTCCACGCATACAACTCGTCCAATCTCTGGTTCTGTCTCCATACCTTCTTTCCCTGTTCCACTAGAACCTGAGTCACGAGTTCCTCGCGGAGGACTATCTTCATCATCGCTGCTTTCATCTCTATAATTTCAGTTAAAATTATAATTATTAACAGTTTATTTTATGAAACAATACAGCTTATATAACATCACAACACTCACTGCGCTTGTCTAGACCGCCGTCCTCTCCTGCCTCCAATTACTGGATTTCCAAAATGTTCTGGATGTGTTAAAGGAAGTTGGTCCAAAGTTTCACTCTCTGCAAAATGCCGCCCACTCTTCAAACATAGTGCAGTTCTTCTTAATGTTGTGATATCTCCATCATCAAAAACTACAGTATATTGACTGCAATCTTGGATTTTGGTAATTGTGGCTTCCACAAATTCTTTCTTATCACCATGTCTGGCTTCAACAGATGCACCTACTCTTAAGGTTCCTTTTATCTGGTCATCAGCTACAGTCGCAGTACCCAAACCTTGTTTATAAGATACTCTGCATTTAACTGATCGTACCACTTTTCTTATTTTTGCTTCACAGAAGGCACCCTTGTATTTAGCACTAACCTCCGTACCCACTGATAGGTACGGTGGATCGTCTCCCTATAACAGAAAATATCTAATCTATATTAAATAATTTTTCTTTTAAATATACTTCCACATAAGAATTATAAATTCACTTCCATCTTGAGGAAAATATTACACAAATATGGAACTTTTCAATTGTGTCACTTATATCAAAAAGTAAAAAAAATTTTTCTAGAAACAAGAACAATGCAATATTGAAGTTAGAATATATTTTTTATTATTCTTTCTCTCAATGCCTTATCAGAATCTGTCAAATTATTGTTCACCATCATAAAAGTATATTGGAGCTCCGTTTAACTGATATTAACGAAAATACAAGTGCTATAAAAACGCCAGCTGCCTTGCTATGATGAGCTATTGTTTATGTAGGCGATCATGTCTCGCCAGTAAAAGAGATTATTCCTGGATCAAAAATTCCCCAAGCTAAATAAGAACGTCCTCAAAGGGATGTTTTATTATGATAAAACTCATACTTTGACATCTTAACCACGTTCTCAAAACGGAGTCCGCTACGTTCATGACAGCCTGCCGATTTCTGAGACATCGGGTAATAATTGTAACCTCGAAGGTTCTTTAGAAGAGATATTTGACCGAAGAAAATAACTTGCAGAAGCGTCGTAACTACATAACAGAAACATGGTTTTTGATTTTTTGATATACACGACAAAAAAGAAAAAAAAAGGTGTGAGTGAGAAAAAGAGAGAGAGGAGGAGGGAGAGAGAGAGAGAGAGAGAGAGAAAGAGAGAGGAAGAGAGAGGGAGAGACGGAGCGTGGAACAGGCTGAAAGAGGACGAGAAGTCGTGTTATACGCACACGCAGCACAATAATATACCAGGCGATAATTTGCTGGCCGCATGTGCGGCTGTTGGCTGGCCAGGCCGTGCGACATTAAGCGTAATGCGAGTTGCGCACCGCGCGCATAGACGCCGCATTAACGAAAAACGAGAATACGAACGCTTATTAGAGGCGCGGAGAGCGAATCAACGGTGCGAAATTAAATACGCGCGCGAACCGAGTCGCCGAGATCGTCGAAACGAGACGCGACGATCGCTTTTGTGACGGTCATCGCGCGCGCGCGCAGCGTTCGCTTTACAAACCGCACGGAAACCCGCGATTTTCATGCAACGAATCTGCTCGATCCGCTTTTCCCTCCGCCCGCGTGCATTCCGCGTGGCCGCAAATTGACACGAGCAACCCGCGGTCAGTATATATTTAGATGCGTACACTGCGGTGGGAGGCAAGATATTTTAAAATATGAAGACACTCNACTGATATTAACGAAAATACAAGTGCTATAAAAACGCCAGCTGCCTTGCTATGATGAGCTATTGTTTATGTAGGCGATCATGTCTCGCCAGTAAAAGAGATTATTCCTGGATCAAAAATTCCCCAAGCTAAATAAGAACGTCCTCAAAGGGATGTTTTATTATGATAAAACTCATACTTTGACATCTTAACCACGTTCTCAAAACGGAGTCCGCTACGTTCATGACAGCCTGCCGATTTCTGAGACATCGGGTAATAATTGTAACCTCGAAGGTTCTTTAGAAGAGATATTTGACCGAAGAAAATAACTTGCAGAAGCGTCGTAACTACATAACAGAAACATGGTTTTTGATTTTTTGATATACACGACAAAAAAGAAAAAAAAAGGTGTGAGTGAGAAAAAGAGAGAGAGGAGGAGGGAGAGAGAGAGAGAGAGAGAGAGAAAGAGAGAGGAAGAGAGAGAACTCAAGTATACAATCTTTGCGCACTTGTTTCTACGTCAACTTTTCTCCCGCCTGTTTTCTTACCAGCATCTTCTAACGCTCCACGATCCTCATATAAATGATCTTAAGACACTGGCACGCGCGATACATTAAAATCGAGTTTCTATTATTTCGTTGAAAGCAATAACACGAGAAAGAGCACGTAGACACTGAGGTTGACCCCCTTCGCGAAACCAACACTTCACGGCCCGAATGCGTACAAGCTCCTGTTCCCTGCCCATTTCCACCCCGACGCAACTTGTCAGCTAGCCACTCGACTCCTATTGGGCGATGTCTTTGCACTCTCTGAAAACAACCGAACGGAGATACGAAATTAAAGATATCATATTAAAGTTGAATTATAAATAATTTTTGTAAATGTAGATTCTCATAAATGAAACATGATTTTTCACTACAAATTCGAAATAAATAAATATCTGTTTTGCTTATAAATTGAAAATGTAGAGGAACCGCACTGCGCATACCACAGGAACGTATCAACGTCGTTCTTAATATGACAATTCAGGTGGTTCCTCTAGGACCTTCATGGAAGAAGTGAGTACAGTCTTCGTACGAACAACAAACATTCAAGCACTATTATTATTAAATTTCATGTGAATGTTTCACGTGGTAATTTCACAAAAAAAGAGAAAAGGACAAAGATTCACGTGAGCAATCGTTCACGAAATAAAACATTGCTTAAAAATCGATAGTTTTGTCGAATTATTGTATGTTGCATTGTATGTAAAGAACGTTATATAATTTCTCTACTATGTATAAAGAGATTGATTACGAGTTTCGTATATAAAATATCACTAAGAAGTAACAATTGTATACAACATTTTAATAGGTTTTCATACACGTAAAGAAGCTATTAAAAAATAATTTTTAAATCCTCGTCATAACAGCTGCATTATTACGTTTGGGTTACCTTTAAATAGAAATAAGATATTACATACTGTTTAATATAATAAATAACATTTGTTTTAAGCTGTACATGCACGCGTGAAAAAAATGAATTTATATATTATATGTATTTAACATTTAAAATATTTGTCAAGTAATTTGATATGAGAAGAAAACTGTTAAATATTGATTGGAACATTCGTCTGTAAGAAATTTAGTATGTATGTAATTGGTTACTTAAAATAATGTAAAAAAAAGTATTTATGTTCAATAAATTTGTATTTTTTTCTGTGAGAAATAACAATCCTAATCACAAATGAGCAGGGATAATAAGCAAATTCCATGTAAATAATAACAGAATACACAATGAGTTCATTGATAAGAGAATTTGTTTAGATCCTGAAGGGGACATTTGTTGACAGAATTGTATTTCCAATTTGCCATGTGTCTTTATACGCTCCTGTCTATGGTCGTCTGCTGTGACGCGGATCAAAATGGCGTCGAGTAATGAAGTGCCGGTAGAAATCAACCAGAGTGGCATGTGCACAGCTGAAACTTCGGTAAGTTTTAGTAAAGTTTCTTGAGAGATAGAGAGGAACGATATCTAAACATAATTGATAATGTATTGATATTAACATAAATAATAAACGATACCACGTGAACTCGGACGGAATAGAAATGTTAGAATGTCGTTTGTCATAATAGTTTTCATTATGCTTTAGAATCTTGGGAAATAGATTGATCAGTTCAGTTGGATTTTCTTTATTTTTCTATGATATGTCTTTGGAAGATAGACTTAGAGTGTAGTAAATTATTTGTTGACATTATCACGGAAAAATGTAGTTACATTGAATACTATGTAGGGACTAATCACACGGTAATAGAGAAATGTGTGTGAGTGTGAGAAATCTCAACTGGTCATTCGATCTTAAACAGACGCCATTCGTTTTGGCGGGCACGTGTACACCGGTGTCGGCGTAAAATACTGTCTTTCTACGAATACTCCGATAATTAGTATTTTCCATAACCGATGAATAACATTGTAAATAATGTTTTGTAATAATTCTTCTTACATTTAGATGCAGAAAGAATTATATCTCTTAGTTCGAGATAATAATTATACGTCACGTGTTTGTAGATAACTGTAGGTTTTTTTCACGGGTATATAACACAGTTATTCTCTGTATTTCATTATATAAATATATTTTTATCAATAATAATTTTTAAATGAATAATTTAAATATAGTTTGATTTTATTGCAATTTTCCAATCATAGCATAGGTAGATCGCTTTATATGACATATAAGTAATGTATTATTAATATATTTTGGTAAATATACTGTTACAGACATCAAAAATGGAATCTATGGAAGTATCAGAGACCACTACTCCTGCATCGAACAAAGATACCATGCCATCCTCCTGTAAAGAATCTGTTTCTGTAGAAGACATGACGTCTAGAGATTACTATTTTGATTCATACGCTCACTATGGAATACATGAAGAAATGCTAAAGGATGAAGTGCGCACAGTGACTTATCGAAATTCCATGTATCATAATAAACATCTTTTTAAGGGAAAAACCGTTCTTGATATTGGTTGTGGAACTGGTATTCTTTCAATGTTTGCTGCTAAAGCTGGAGCAGCAAGAGTTATTGGTATTGAGTGTTCTAATATTGTTGAATATGCAGAGAAGATCGTAGAAGCAAATCAGTTGTCAAATGTAATAACAATACTTAAAGGAAAAGTTGAAGAGGTTTCATTGCCCGATGGCATAGAAAAGGTTGATATAATCATCTCTGAATGGATGGGCTATTGCTTGTTTTATGAATCAATGTTAGATACAGTGCTTTTCGCTAGAGACAAGTGGCTTCGTGAAGATGGAATGTTATTCCCTGACAAAGCGACATTATTTATTTGCGGCATTGAAGACAGACAATACAAGGATGAAAAGATTAACTGGTGGGACGATGTGTATGGATTTGATATGAGTAGTATAAGAAAAGTAGCAATTAGCGAACCTCTAGTGGATGTTGTAGATCCGAAACAAGTTGTTACAAATGCATGTCTAATCAAGGAAGTTGACTTATATACAGTAACAAAGGCTGATTTGGAGTTTTCTTCCCCATTTACTCTACAAGTTCGTAGGAACGATTATGTACAAGCACTAGTTACATTCTTCAACATCGAATTCACCAAGTGCCACAAACGTATTGGATTCAGTACAGCACCAGAAGTACAATACACACACTGGAAACAAACTGTGTTCTACTTCGATGAATATATGACCGTCAAGAAAGGAGAGGAAATATATGGTGTCTTTTCAATGAAGCCTAATGCAAGGAACTACAGAGATCTGGATTTCAGCATTGAACTAGACTTTAAAGGGGAACTGTGCCAAGTACATGAAACTAATACTTATCGTATGCGCTGATACCTATAAGATGGTTCATCTTCCTTTTATTTTCATGGATCATAAAACTGTGTAATCAAATAGAAGATCAGGACATTGATTATTATTGACTTAGATGATTTAATGATGTTTAATAGTACGGTACAATGAATGATGTGAATTATTTAAATGGTTTTAATCTATGATCTTAAGGAAATTTAGAGGCTTCCTGCTTAAGAAATTTTGTTATTCCAGTTAGAACTTACAATAATATTAACAACAAAAATACGAGATCATATATAACTTAGTTACCAA